TGGGTCTTTCAAGAAACAATACTGTGCCGAGCGCTGGGTCTGTTCCTGGCAAAAATGGCGATAATCGGAAGACTGATGTTTCGGTCTCTGGTATAGAATGAGTTAAGTAGATGGAAAGAAATATTTGGCTTTTGTGTCATGAATCAGTAAAAGGAAATCTGATATTTACTCTCTTTCTGTGCTTGCACTATTTGTAGAAATCTGTGATATGTAGATTTTTAGTCTTTTGTAGATAATGTGAAATATTTTGCCCTGATTGAATCAAATTGAATATTCTGTGTGTGTGTGATCATGAATGTGTGCCTGGTCTTGTATGCTTTGCAGGTCATTATGTATGAGTGTACTCGCTGGTCTTGTCAGTATGTTTGTATTGGAGCACCCGTAAATCAGCAGCTTCCATGAAATTCTGTCCACGAAGCTTAGCATGTTTTCGAATGTTACAGGGTCTGCCAGTGTAGTAATACATTGTAAAGTGTATTATAAAGGCTACTTGTTCGAAGGGATATGCACTGTATGATTATAACGTATTAATTTTATTTCTTCTTTGTTTGGATCGGTGCAGGTTCATGTGTTGTGTATGTGTGAATGATATTGCCACATATGTATGATGATGTTCATAAGTATATATGCTGGCTTATACCTGTTTATATGAATAACCATGAAGATATCATTTAGCCATTTCTCATGCTTACAAAAGGAATATGCACCAATGGTGTATCAGACAATATTTTTTTGGAACAAAAGTTTGTATCTCTGTTTTGGTTTTTTTTTTAAATGTTGATATAGATGTACATACCCTTCACTGGATGAATAAATATCACATCTCAAGTACTCAACCATAGCAATTTTAAAAGTGAATACAATACATGTATTGTTATTTATTTTGTTGTTGTTGTTGTCGTCAGTGTTTCAGTCCTACACTGTCCCGACGGTCTGCTAATGATGTACTATTCATTTACTAGGACAAACCACCAGTGCCTTATCTTTTCTCGGGTGAAATATAAGCATCTTCTGCATCTATGGTATAGATAATAGTCATGCTAAGAGTAATAGATTGTATTTATATATATAGCACTCTATCCCATACAAGTTTAAGCTCTGAGCACTTTACACCTATTCGATATGATTACTGAGAGTAAAATCTTATACACACAAGAAAAACATTTCATATAAACAAAAAAAACAGTTCAACCACACAAAGATGAGATTTTTCAGCCATGAATTAATTATATATATAATAGGACAATAGTTAAAACACAGATGTCTTTACACGGGTTGTGAGTTCAGTTCCTTCATGGGGAAGTTATTTTATGGATTATCTCTGCATTTCTGTTGGAAGTTATTCCTCACAACTAGGTACATCCTGAAGCAGGGTCGAAGCAGACCGCCTGTTAAATTATCTGCGTTGAGTCGACTGCAGTGTTATACATGTTATACATGCATCGGGAATGTCGGAAGGAATTGTAAATATGTGTAGCAAGAACCCGTGATCCATATAAAGGTTTAAGTATTAGGGACTGAACGATGCTGTGTTTTACATTATCTGCATTTATATTTAGTAATAATAATAAATGAGGTTTATATAGCGCTCAACCCTGATTAAAGTACACAGGCTCTGAGCGCTTTACAATACAGTAACATAAAACGTTGTGTTTTGACTAAAATAAATTCACTCCAAATATTCATCTTATTAATTTAAATACTGAAAATGACATTTGAATTAATCAAAAGATTTGATCTTCTCTTAAAGAACAAAGGTAAAGCATTCCAGATCTTGGGGCCTTGGTATTCAAATGCCCAGCACTGTTTTAGTATTGTTAAACTTATTCAAGACAACTGTGTCTTTGTCTGTTCACCTCACTAGTATCAAGTATCTTGTGATTGTGGTGTAGATTAACCCTTTCTCTGTGGCTCACCAATATATCCCAGTCTTTCTGCTCCCTATTGGCATCGGGGTGAAATCAGGTGCTTGTAAAAATTATGAAATCGAAGAAATCTATATTTTTCTACCTGTTGGGCAATTTTTATTGGATTTTTAAAAAGTATTTTGTATGCCTTTTACTGAAAAACGTTGATCAAAGGCATTTTCCAAGGACACTCAAGCTTTTGCATTCACTAAACTTTGGCGGCCATTTTCTCACAAATTCTACCTCTGACACCAGGCAACCCCAAGCCCCTTCAATGGCAAATATCTCGACTTCTATTCAAGATAGATGTGTTGTTGTTGTTCATCAAAAGCAAGACAAATTAACATACTTTAAGATGATACCAACAACTTCATATGCCATGACATTGAGGAGCGCATGATTCTACCGTGTTGTGACACAGGTTATTATGACCATGTGTTGATAAGTTAAATGACAGTGTGTTGATAAGCTATGACACTGGAAGTGTTAAGCAATCACCAAGAGGATGCTCATACAGATTACATGTTGGCTACGTACAGGCTTGGGACATGGGTCTTGAGCTAAGATATAGCACCGAGTAAACAACTGTACTGTCATCCTTGACCCTTTCAATGATGACATCGACGTTTATACAGACAAGATAAAATAATAACTCAAGAGAGATTTAAACAAAGCTGTAATATATTTCCCCTTTTTGATTAATAATAAGAGGGCGCTCTGTTAGCTTAGTTGGTATCGTGCTGGACTGGGGAGTGGATGGCCCTGGTTCGAATCCCAGACAAGGCGTTCTTGAACTCAGGTGTTGATAAAATCTCTGTGTAGTTGCGAATGGTTGATAATACAATACGTACTATTAAGCGCACTTACGATGTTTTCTAAAAATGTTTCAGAAGAAGCACACACACACACACACACACACACACACACACACACAGAGAGAGAGTCAGAGAGACGTTTTCGCTTGTATGCGGACCCTCACAAGAGTGCCCCCCCCCCCCCCAACACACACGCGCGCGCGCGCACACACCATCCATGGGATATATAGATATATCCAATGAATAAGTGATAAGATAGTCAAGGACAGAATTTCGATGTTTGCCTTTTACCTCAGTGGTAAATGGTAAACGTGAACGCCAAACAGACTGCAGTTAGGCCCCCGAAATAAGTGAAATTGTAGGTTTATAGGTTGTTCTTTTTGTAAGTGTTTTACGGCGCTCGCAACTGCATAAAGTCATATGAGTGCGCACGACACATAAAACATTTTCAGTTGGTAGGAAATTTTAAATTTTGCCCAGGTGGCGGCTGAAGCCTACTCTTATCGATTTTAGACCACAAATGGATCTTTAACGTGCGCAACTTGCACACGGGACCTCCGAGATTTTTCGCCCCTGTGCGAGAAGGCTAGGTATAGATCTTTCCTACCTGAAGTTCAAGGGTGTGGCTGAAAGACAGCAGTAAGAAGGAGCCAATGAGTAGCAGTAGAAAGGCTGCAGAAACAGTCAGGAGCCCAGAGGAGGGGGCAAAGGAGGCGAGGGGGTGGGGACAAAAAGTGGAGATAACAGCAGACGACAAAACATTGCTAGAGAGCAGGAAAGGACGTGAAAGGAAATAATTTTAGAGAAGAAAATTGGTCCGTCGTTACCCGGATTCGAACCCGGGACCTTTGATTAAGAGACGAACACCTTAACCTCAAGGCCACAAGATCCCCCTTGTATAGGTTTAACGTCCCTTGCGACACTGGTAGCTTATGTAAGAGCGAGACCTTAACTATAACGTCTATCTCTGATAGGTCCGAGCCAAACAGGAAAATGAATGTAAAGGGCCTTTCCCAAGGGCATTACGTCAGACCAAACTGAGCACGAAACCCCGTACAGTGAATGGTTAGTGGTTACTCTAGTGTGGTTAGCTCCTTCTTTCATATTATTAAATTAGAAACATGTCGTCTCTCTCTGTTTGAAGGGGACACAATATCGAACTGAGGGGGGGGGGGGGGAGCACAGCACACACATTTAACTCCGCAACATTAATAAAGCCCAAACTGGGTCCACGAAAAACTTCGGGCCTCTCCAGAAGAGACGAAGTCATTTTTACTCGATTACGCATCGGATACACATCCCTGACACATAAATATCTCCTTCAGGGAGATGAGAAGCCGTTCTGTATTGGATGCGACACAGATTTTACCTTTAGACACGTTTTAACAGAATGTCTAGACTTCGGAGACACCCAAAGGAAATATTTTAGATGCCAAAAAATGCAAGATCTGTTTTCCGTCGTTGTTCCCAACAGAATTCTGTATTTTATGAAGGCCATTGGCCTTTATGGGAAGTTGTAAATGAAATTGTGAAAATTTTCATGTTATTTTTAAAAAAGTTGTTTTAAATTTAAAATGTGTGTACACCAAATTGTAATATTTTAGTATTTTAATGAACGTGTTGACCTAAACCGGACTGTTGCAAACAGAACCAACTTATTGCGAGCGCCGTAAAACTCTTACTACAAAAAACAAACATAATTTCACATACAAGTACGTCAGTGAGTTTAATTTTCTCAACAAAATAAGCAACATTCCTATAGGAGCGAACTTATACTGAGTTAGGGCAATTCTGGCCGACCGGTGGTCATCAGATTTTTCAACGATAATAAACCTCTTGTCATAAATCTCGACCAGTCCAGTTTTGGGGGGCGTAACAGAATGATCTTTGCCCTTATCTGGTAGGCTACAGCCCCACATGTGGATGTGCTATCTGAACTAAATCTTTAATATCTTCACGCAATAGATGCGATAATATTTCGTCGTATGAAATTTAAAGGGTTCTATCTGCGTTTTATGGATGTTTCAATTTATGTTTTGTTACATATATATATATATATATATGAATTACCACTCGGCGATCCACGCTATGTTCTAAAATGGCTATTCTGCTCTTTAAAAAATGAATTCAAAGGAAAGAGACTCTGCTTCCGCGTTTAAAATTCACAAACTTTGACGTCTAGTATCTCAAACGTATCATTTCTAAAATGCAGATAGAACATTTCAAATCTCTCACCATGAATTAAACATCTAACGTGTTCTTGCTTTATAAAGGGCTTACGATACGTGGACGTGTGATAACAGGCGGTTCTCGGACAGAAGAGCGACTTGTGTGAAAGAGATACCAACAGAGAGGTGTCAGTTTCAAAAGCTTCATTCCATCATGGAGAAAAGGGTATTTTATCATTAATTTATCCCTGAACTATTCATATGTGTTTCTTAATTATCTAATTTTGCTCAGATGATGTTGTTTTTTTCTCCGACAAACACCAGCTCTTGTGAGAATTATCGATCTTGTATTCTTTTCTAGAATGTGCATTTTTTATGCGTCATGATGAAAAAGGAAACAGATGTGAATTCAATTCATATAATTATAATTCAGATTATTATTATCATATATATACATAGTGCTTGTGGTTGTGAGAACAACGTGGTTCCTGTTACGAGTACCTGTTTCAGTATACAGTTTCTTTTTTTACCTAAAGAACACACACACACACACACACACACACGCGCGCGCGCGCGCGCGCACGCACGCACAACTGCAACCAACATATTTGGTATAGAGGTTATACATGTAATTATAAAGAGCTTCGCTGTCTCGTGCAGGAGACCCGGGTTTGATTCTCGATTAAGGAGAAATTTATTTGTCGAGTACGTCGGTATTTCTGCTGGGATGTTGTTTCCTCTCAGCGTGGCGGGTCGGCCCTTGACCATTGACAGGAAGGGTAGGAAGGGTCGGAAGCCCGCCTCCTTATTGATTTGAAATTTTATCGATTGCGGAGTAAAAACACCTACATTAAAACACACACACACACACACACACACACACACACACACACACACACACACACACACACACACACACACACACACGCACACACACACACACACACGAACTCACCGCATCACATTCGTTCAGAATTATTTCAATGAAATCATTTATGCTATGAGCCTGGTGTTTATTAGGCGCTTTTCCGTCGCTCATAGAAAAAGTGAGTTCGATTCGTGTATGGAAAGAATTTTTCTCAACTGTATATTGTATCTCTGTCTGTCTGCTGGAATGTTAAATTGTATCCCTCCCATCCCGGGTTGGCCATTGTAGGCAGGGTCGAAGCAGCCCGTATCCTTAATGATAGATTTGTGTTGATGGGGACGTAAATCATCTATAATCACTATAATATTATTAATTTCTGTTTGTTTGTTTTTGTAAAGTGTTTTACGGCGCTCGCAACTGCATAAGGTCATATGAGCGCGCGGAACACACTTAAGATCAGGGGTGTGGCAGAAAGACAGCAGTAAGGAGGAGCCTAGGAGTAGCAGTAGAAAGGCTGCAGAAAGAGTTAGGAGCCCAGAGGAGGGGGCAAAGGAGGTGAGGGGGTGGGGGCAGAAAGAGGAGACGAAAGCAGACGACAGAACATTGCTAGAGAGCAGGCAAGGAGGTGAAAGGAGACAAATTTAGAGAAGAAAATTGTTCGGTCACTACCCGGATTCGCACCCGGGACCTTTTGAATGAGAGGCCAACACCTTAGTTAACCTCTAGGCCACGAGAGCCCTCTTGGTCGTTAACAATGGCAGCAGACGGTACAAAGATTAGGAATACTCACGCATACGCACAACAAGACAGGACATTAGCAAATTTACATGTCTCACATGCTGGGACAACCCTCGATAATTGTTTTACGGTGTGCGCAACTGCCTACGGTCATATGAACGCACGGGACACATTAAACATAATTTTAAGTTTTGATTTTGCCCGGGTGGCCGCTGAAGCCTACTCTTATCGATTTCGGACCACTAAGGGATCTTTAACGTGCGCAACTTGCACACAGGACCCCTAAGGTTTTTCGCCCTTCTCCGAGAAGGCTAGGTGTTCGATCTTACCTACCCTGAGATCAGGGGTGTGACTGAAAGACAGCAGTAAAAAGGAGCCAAGGAGTACCAGTACAAAGGCTTTAGAGCCAGGAGCCCAGTGGAGGGGGCATAAAGGGGAAAGAGGGGGGGGGGGGTAGAAAGTGGAGAAGAAAGCAAACGACAGAACATGGTTAGAGACGAGGAAACAAAGTGAAAGAAGAATATTTTAGAGAAGAAACTTTTCCGTTGCTGTCAGGATTCGAACCCTGGACCCATCAAATGAGAGGCGAACACCGTAACCTCTTGACCACGACAGGCCCCACACATACACTGTTGTAACTAATGATTGACGAATGGGATCGTTTTGATTATGTATCAAACCATTTAGTTACATTATACTTATACATGTATTAGTTTACACACTAAAAGATTTCAATGTTATCAGTTATTGACCCTTTTTTCCAGCGATAATATATTTTTTCCTAATCTTTATCTTCCGTACTTTCTATAGCTTCACACTTTCTGATACGATATCTCAGTTATGAAAGATTGAATCCATTCTTTTTTTGTTTGGCCTTATTCCAGAAGTGGCATGCGGTAATCATTATCAATTTCACCCTGATTGTGTAATCCCCCCCTTCTTTTTTTTCTTACTCCTCCACCTTACCCAACCCTCAGTTCTTGCCCTTGCTGTTTGCTGTCCTGACTTTGGCGTCTGGAATGCCCGATGTCCAGCATGCCTTGCGCTCAGGACCGGTACTTGGTGGTGGAGTCATGCCCATGGCTCCCAAAGTAGAAGCTGACCTGTGTCCACTGTGCATTCAGTTTACGAGTCAAGCGATTAACCAGCTGCTGAACATTATACTGAGTATGTAGAGTATGCTAAGAGCGTGTGTAGGGGCGTTTTCTGATGAGGGCGATCCAGCTCCAAGCGAGGTTTCAAAGGTCCTTGGGGTGCTCCGTTTGTTAGCTCAGTTGGTATCATGATGGACTACAGAGTGGATGGCCCTGGTTCAGATCCCAGACTAATGGACGTTCTTTAACCGTTCTTGGACTCTGGTAGTTTTGTGGAGTTTTCAGGGATTTAAGCCCATAATGGCTAAGTCCTATCGGAGGCGGGCGCTAGATTCTGAGTTCCCTCCTCTTAAATAATATACAATAGAGTTGATAAGTGCGTTAAATCCATACACTCGCTTACAGTAGTATGAGGAGCATGAGAGTTTCCATAAAGAATATAATTCTGCATTACTCTTTAATTGTCGTTGTTGTTGCTCTCGCTCGAAGATTTTTTCGTGGAGTCCACCAGGCCCATTAAGGAAACAAAAACGAAAATCATCATCATCATTATCATCATCTCGGTTGCATATCTTTAACTTAAATTACTTTCTCTCTACTAC